TCAAGCAATTTAGAAGGAAAGTTTTGAAAATGGATTTGAAATTTCATGGTTAAAACGTGTTTCCAGATAAAAGCAAGTGTTGCGACTAGAACCAGGGCAATGAGAGCTTCCTAATGATATCAAAGTTTTGAAGAATTGATGTAGAAATCTACCTATTGAAGTTGAGTTGCAGAGCTCTGAAACTGGACTTCTATGGATCAATATAGGTCACGATTCTTGAAGGTAATTGTATGGTTAGCTTCAGGGAAAATCAAGGAAGGTGAATTGATAGAAAAAATGGATTGAAAAAGGCTTGAACAATGATTTTGAAGTTGCAGAAAAATGAGTTATGGAGCAAGTTTGGCAGGGTGATTCTGGCTGTTCAAGCTTAAGGAAATTAATGAGGGATGACTCTCTATTTATAGGGAATCAAATGGAATGTTCAAGCGTGTGAAATGATGAAGTTTGGAGGGAAATCGTGTGAAGTTACAAACAAGGAAAGTGTGACTTCTATCTTGATCAAAACTCATTCAAAACGCGCGTTTTGCTATGCTAATCACTTCTGGAAGTTCACTAAACATGTTTAGAAGCAAAACACACAGAAACAATGTGTTTAGAAGGTAAATCAAGGATTTCATATTCTGACTTTTGAAGAAACTTCAATTTCAAGTTACCAAGTTCAAATCAATGGCATTCTCAGCTCAAGGAGTCTTAGGGAATGATTCTTGATGCTTTAGAAAGACTAGGTTACAAGCTTTGCAATGGGAAAAGAATGGAATCAAATGGATGTTTGAGCTGAAAGTTGCAATGAGTCAAAGTTGGGGAAAAAAGGTTGACTTTCCATACTTAGAAATTTCAAGTTTTTTCTTCAAAAGTGACCTATAATGTTTTGCATCAAAACATGGCCTTCCTCTTGGAATTTTCTCTTCAAAAAAATATAGCATGAAATAGACCTCTTGAATGACTTTTTGAATCTGGATCCATTTAAAATCTCCAAAAATTGAGAGAGTTATGAATTGTTGAAGTTGGCAAAAAAAATCATGAAGTGACCTATAATCTTTTGTATCCCTAGGACATCTTCCATCCATTTTCTCACTTTTCACATAACAGAAGGAATAAATTTCACATCCTCAACATCATTGTGGAAAAAGAGTGGTCTCAAGGTGATAAAAATTGACCAAGTTATGATCATTTGAAGTCACACATGGGAAATTGGGGGTTCATCTGGAGGACTTGTAATCTTTCTTCATCATCAAGTTTCTTCCACATGAAAAATCATTGAAACATTTGAAGTTATTTTTTAATAAACCTTTGAAGAGAATGATTTCTTTGGAATCAATCAAAAATACCAAAATATGAGCAAGATATACTTCTTTGAAGTTCAAAATCCTAGCTCCTAGATCAAGAAAATGCTTTGAGGAACTTTGACAATTTTTAACAACCTTCTTGTACCAACACTCTTGCTTTGTAAATAGAAGTTGTTAAGGATGATAATGGGAATTCATAGCCACCAAAACCACTTCCATATCTTGAGGATTGAGAGAAATATACACTTGTGACCAATGGGAACAAGGCCTTGTCCAATCATGACAACTTCTTCAATCAACCCTTTGTACTTTTGAATCAATCTTGATAACTTTGAAATGTGGTGAACCAAGATAAACCTTGCCATGCCATTTCTTCCAAAACAACTCCAATGGTGAGGTTTGAACTTCTCAATCTTTATTGACTAGGGTATGGAAATAAACTCATGAACCCATGGATCAACTTGCTAAGCCACATTACCTTTACCTATATTATTACCAAGTAAGACAAACCAAAATTGCATTTTATTAATTAAAAGGAAAGTCAAAACAAAACATGCATGATCATAAAGTAAAAACAAGTCAAGGTGTTTGGTGATTCCTCAAAGAGCAAAGCTGAAGATAGGGAGGAGAACCAAAAACCCTAATGTGATGTTGTTGTGATTGAATCAATATGGTATGATGAAGGGATCTTAGGGGAAATAATCGGGGTACAACAAATGCTTTCTCAAATTTTTCATCCACTTGATTTCCTTGTAATTCTTGTGTATGGTACTATGCATAACTAAACAAAACCTAAAACACACAACAAAAACAAAGAAAATAGTTAGAAATAAAATGCGTGGGTTACCACCCACAAAGCGCTTCGTTTAACATCACATGGCTCAACGGTCATCCATCTTATCTGTTATACAAACATCATCTATCAAACCACTTACTTGTCCATGATAGTATGGTTTTAATCATTGTCCATTCACCTTTAAGGTGTCCCAGTTTGCTTGATTCTTAAGCTCGATTGCTCCATGTGGGAACACTTTGTGAACCACAAATTGTCCAGACCATTTGGACTTCAACTTTCCAGGAAACAACTTCAACCTGGCATTGAATAACAAAACCAAGTGTCCTTCCCAAAATTCCTTCTTCTAGATCTTTTGATCATGCCATTTTCTTGTTTATTCCTTATAGATTTTAGCATTCTCACAAGCCTGATTCTTAAACTCTTCCAACTCATTGATTTGGAGACTATGGGATTCACCAGATTAGTATTATCTTTTAATATCATCACGTTCTCTTCTTCCTCTTTAGGGGACAGGTTGACACTGATGTATGTTATCTTAGAAAATATGATGTTGATCTAGACCTTTTTGGTTTCCTTATGAGGAGATAAGATGTCCCTGGTGGGTCATCATGTGGGTCTATGTTGACCATGTTGACTTTGAGGTCATTCGGGTGTTTGGCTTCCCCAACTTGAACCCTCTTTTTCAGCTTCAGATTGTCCTTTTAGTTTTTTCTTGCGAGCCCATGACCGCCTTTGACCACCCCAACCCGGCCATCTCCCAAAGGGTATTTCATGGTGAGGTATAGGGTTGAGAGTGCAGCTTCCAAATAATTAAAGGACAATCTCCATATGATGATTTTATAAGGAGAGGCAACATTAACAATTAAGTACATTACTCAGACTGCTTTTGCATTTCCCTAACACTTGCACTTGTTTTCCATAGAATTCGACCAGGGTTCCATTAAGGGGTAGAAACTCATCTGTATCAAACTCCATTCCTTTGAAGGTGTTCCAGTAGAGTATGTCAGTGGAGCTCACGGGGTCTATCAACACCCGTTTTACGCTCAAATCTAGGATTTACACCTTAATGACCATCAAATTATTTCGTGAGCCAGAATTCCCATGGCGTCCTATTTAAAGAAACTGGTAGGATTTAAATCCTTCTCTTGACCTTTGGTTGTCTCTTTGGACAAGTGCATTATAGCCTGAACATACCTCTTCCTGGCTGAGCTTGTTTCTCATCCATCGGCAAATCCTCCGGTAATGGTTTTTAGTGTATGGTAGGCTGCCTTTGTTTAATGTACCTCCTTGGTACCCTTCTTCCTTTTCTGGGAGGGTCCTTCAACATTTATTTCCTCTCTTTGAGTATCTCTTTTCTCGGACTCGGCTCTAGTATCTTTCACATAGGTTAAGAGATGTCCTCTTTGTATCAACGTCTCAATTTCTTTTTTCAGTTGATGTTAGTCGTCAGTGTGGTGTCCCCGAAGCCGAAGATAACTACACCAAGACCCGGCATATTTTCCTATAATGGTGTTCACCCTCTTTGGACGGGGTGCCTCTGGGATTAGTTTTAGATGGCAGACTTCCTCTAGGATATCACCTCTCCTGGTGTTCAATGGTGTTAGGTCCTCATTTGAATCAGAGCGGGCCGAGAAGACTTTTTTCTTCGCCCCGACCCCTATTATTTGTTTTTAGCTCTTTCGATGGTGTCTCTAGATTGCTTCTTCTGGTTACTTTCTTCACCTTTTATATAGCACTCGCCGTTAGTGATGATCTCGTCCATGTTGGATGTCGGCTTGTGTGCTAGAGATTTGTTGAATTACCCTACTCAAAGACCGTGCTAGAATTCCCCAACGAATAATTCTTGATTAGGGTGGGAGACTTTAATGGTTTCTTCATTAAACCTTTCCAGGTACTCCCGCAAAGATTTCGTATGTCCTTGTCGAACGTTAAATAAGGTGGTTGTCGAGACCTTTCGGTGTCTGTTGGCCGAGAAGTGTTATACCTGCTTCTTTGTCAGTTCTGTTATCCCCCAAAATTTACTCTCCTCATTTCACCCCAATTTGGCTTATATTTCAGTATTATATACATACATACATATCATTGGTTCTATGGTTATGGGATCAAGGCACTTCTGTTAAGCTTTGCCAAGCTACAGAGGACGTTTATTTCGTCAGTCAACATGCTCAGAGTGTTCTCTAGGATATGTAATCAGTGCAAACTAAATTCCTCATCATGACAAGTTCCCATGTGTTCCAGCATGCCTCGAATTGTAGAGAAAATCAAGAGTTTCAGTCAAGTCAAAACAGTTTGAGCAGAAAAGCAGTATTTCACAGTGTGACTTCAAAAATTCATAACTTCTGCCTGGACAAGTATTTTGGAGTGGATCTTCAGGCGTAAGATCCTTCTTGTAATTTTCTACAGTTCATATGTTCAGATCTGGAACCAATTATTTGAAGAAGATGTCCAAAAATGCAAACTACCTGAAAATTCCACAGTGAAATGGATGTTCAGTCGACTGTTTTCTCGATCTTCAAAAAATCATAACTTTCTTGTTTCTCAACATTTTGAGACGATTCTCAAAGCACGACGTCACAAATGTTGTTAACTAAAACTTTGCTTCAGGTCACAAGTTCAGATTGTGCTCCAGAAGCTTCGGTTTGTAGCTTGTTTCCAGATTTGAACACTGAAATAAGCTGACATTTCAATGTAGCCAAAAAAGTCCATTGTTTCTCGCCGTTGTGAAAATCATAAGTTTCTATATTTTTATCATATCGCACCGATTATTTTAGTATAAATTCACAAATTTCGTCATCGGTAGTTTTGCTTCAGGTTTCACGTCAAGATTATGCATTAAAAGTCATGAGCTTGTAGTTTGTCTCGAGTTTAACATAAAATAAGTTGAAAATTCTGCACTATTCACAAAAAATAAGGAAATTTGCATTTTTTTACCATTTTCTAAACATGGCATTATCTCCCTTCTATATAAAATTTCAATTCAATTTCATAATCACTTTTGGCCATTTCTCATAAAACTCACTCAAAATTCAAATTCTATCTCAAAAGTTTTCTCCTCTCACAAAAGCAAAAGTCACAAATTCATTCCTTCCTCCCTCAAAGGATTTCAGGTCAACCCCCCACCGCCGGCTACCACCCTCTACCAGACCTGCCTCCATCTCGGTCGACCTCTGACGAGCGCCAATCTCCCCGTGCTTCCGACTAATTCACCCTCGCTACACCTGAATCCCTCCTCTTCCTCCTCCCATTGCACCTCCCTCAGTCGCTTGGACATACTCCTTCCGTCTTGAGTTTTTTGTGTCGTCGACCTCCTTCTTTCGTTCATCTTATGCGATTCAACTTCTGGCATCGCATTCAGTAATCTCTTCTTGATCTTTGCTAGATTTGATTTTGTATGTGATTCAATCAATTGGAATTAATTGAGTTTTTATTGAATCTTAAATTTATTTCTTGAATTGATTTTGGATCTTGAATTATTGATATTGATGATGATAATTACTTGTGGAATCGGTTGATTATTCAGATAATTTTTTTAGATCTCACAGATTTATCGATAAATTATCGATGAGATTTTAGTGTCAATATGAACTTTGAGTTTCCTAATTGATGATAATCAGTGTTAATTTCATTTGTCAATACCACTTTTTCGAGTTGATTTAATTGATTGATAGTGTTGAAATTAATTGTGTCGGTGCTTGCTTTTGGTCCGTTTAATTTTGTCGACACTTGAGTGAATTAATTCTATACTTGAAAACCAATATTTCAGTGTGGTTTATTTGTTGCAACGTGTTTGTAATTTCCGAGCGAGGTTACATGTATTGATAAATGGTTTGATACGTTCGAATGCAGATTTTAAAAGCGATTTTTGGTTGATATCGATACATTTGCCATGGCTGCCCGAAACTCTCAAATGTGTGGCAAATAGAGTTTTAATTGTTGTTCTATGCATAAGAGGTTTTGTGATGATAATTGCTTGATACCATAATCAACTTTGGTTGATTTTAACTCAACTTTTTGAGCATTTCATTAAGTGATACATGGATGTCCGGAATTGGTATTTGCATGCACATTGAGATTTAATCCTTGAATAATGCATTATTGAGCTTAAGCGGATAAATGGTGGTTACCGGTATCAAGTTTGATCGATTTAAGCCAACTTTTTGTGCATTTCATTTGTTAATACAATGCTTCCCGAAAAATGATTTTTGCATTTACATTGTAAATTTAATTCATGATTAATGCATATTTGAGCTTGTTAGCATATTTGGTTGATTCTGGTATCAAGTTCAGTTGTTTCTAAGCCAACTTTTTGAGCATTTCGTACGATGCAAAGTTGCTGCATGAAGATGGTAAGTGGTGGTTATTTGGTAATTTAATTCCAACTTAATTCATGTTTGAGCTTGTTAGCATATTTGGTGGATACCGGTATCGAGTTTGTTTGATTTTATTCTGAATTTTGCACACTTTCATGTGTTAATGTCTTGCTGCCCAAAAATTTATTTTAATATTCCAATGCATATTTGCATCTTATTTCTTCATGATCTATTTTCAATTTAAGTTGTGATGTCAATACTTGATTCTTTTCATGCCTCCTTGTTATTTCTAACCCTATTGTTGACTTGTGAAAGGCATTCCAAGAGAGCTTTCAATCTATTAATTCTTGGTTATTTGATTGTAAAGCATTTTTATTCCACTTCTTTGTGGGTTCGAGTTCACTTCTGACGCACTTGATTGTGATTCTAATTCTATGAGATATATACATTGCTTGTATTTTTGTCTGGATGTGTATTTTGGTGCAGGTATATTGTTTGTCATGCGGATGTGTCTGATACACATTTCACGTGTGATTTCACATTGTCAATTCTTTGGCGCCTATTCTGAGCACCTGATTCTGATTATTTTGTTTTTTGATGATAGCTTGCATTAAGACCGTCGGGTTTCTTTGTTTTGATACCCTTTGATACAGATTATTATCTGTTTGGTACTTTCTCTATTCTATTTTCATTCCGCATTATTTTTCGCTTACCTTGCCATGAGAAGTAGGAATAGAGATGTATGATTGAGAGTCCTTACTTTAGGTGGGCAATTTTGTTTAAATTCCTCAAGTGAGGTGATATTTGTGTTTTCTTGTATGAAAAATACCTCGACAGAGGAAAATCCCACTCCCTTTTATTTTGTGCAAAGAACTCCAAGAAGGCATTAGTAAAGTCCTCAAAGAAGACAATAAGGAGAAGTGTGGGTCCGTAATCGACCCCCATCATTTTTAGTCCCCAAGTCATTTGTAGTTTACGTCGTACGTCGATGCTATGAACCATGCTACTCTTCTTATCGAGTCAGTCAAGTGGAAAATGGTTCGTAATCAAGCCCCACAATTTGTCATTATTTAGCTTGCATTTGTAAATGTTGATGCTCTATGTGATCTCATTATTATCTTATATCGCCTACCTCGATGACATGATATTGTGGTTAGGTGCTTAGTCACTTATGACATTCACCTTTGCTCTTATTTTGCCTAGATGACACGATATCTTGGTTAAGAGTCAACACCCCCGTTTTCTTTACTTCTTACCTAGGTGACATGATACCATGGTTAAGAGTTTATCCTTCTCCACATTTCTTGCATAGATGACTTAATATCTTGGATAAGACTTGATATTCCTTCATACTTCTTACCTTTGTGAGATGATACCATGGTTAAGTACTTCCCTCATACTACCTTGATGACTTGATATCAGGGTAAGTTGTTCCTATTTCTTATCCTACCTTGATGACTTGATACCATGGTTAGGTGTTATCCCCCTCTCTATTCTACCTTGATGACATGATATCATGTTTAGGCGTGTGCCACTTGAGTAAGTGGATACTTCTCATGTTTTTGTTTGCTTGTTTTCATGTCTTGGTTAAGTATTTGATTGCTTGCATGTTTCTTTCTATTGTGTGTGTTCACATGCTCCCCAAAGGATGTTTAGTTAATTCTTGGATAAGTTTGAACTAATTAGACCTTTGGATTGATATCCATGTATGTCAATATTAGGTAGAATTCCCTTGATCCCAACTTTAGGTCTACAAGCATGACAACAAGTAAGATTGAGATTCCCCTTTTGTTAGATTTTCCTTTTGGCTTCCTTTTAAGACATAAATTCTTTTTCTTTGGCAAATTCATAAAACATCTCTAACTTAAAAAAAACCCATTTTCAAGTTAAAAAATACCAACCAATGCAAATTCTTTTTGTCTTCGGACTTTTTCTTTTAAATCATTTTCGATAAGGTATGTTGTTTCAAGTTTGAGAAACCTGGAAATGCTAAGTGTGCGAGTGGTCGAGCATGATTCTCTTATGAGCTGCGACAGTAAGCACGATTTGTGATCCTAACCTCAAGGATCCAAACATGGCATTATCCATAAACAACATGCAACCAACAAAACCTTTTGAGGGGAACTATGAGTGCCTTGATCCCCATTGAACGGACAGTAGTACGTAGGCACAAAGGTTTTCAACTCAGGTAGGCATGACTAATAAAACCTTTTCTTTTTGTACATAAAACCTTCTCTTTGTATTTAAACACACCCTTTAGATTAGACAACAATAATGGAACCCGTGAAGTACCACGAACATTGTTATACCCCAATTCCCCCCCCCCCCCCCCCCTAAGATTTCTAATCATCTCATGTCATCAATACATCAAGACACACACATTAGGGTTGGTTCTCTCTTTATCTTATCTTTAAGTTTATTCTTGAGGGGTTATCAAGCACCTTGAATTGTGTATCTTGTACATGTGTTCTTTTAACTAACATCAAGATATGTATATATGTTTCTTTGAATGTTTATATCGAAGGTGATGACACAAGTGCATTCATCTCACCATCTAACCTAGGGTTTAAGGGGTTGGTCCTCAGTCAAATGTTTCTTCAGTGAATTTCAAGAGTTTAAGTTCAAGCTCTCAAGCAATTGTGTAGTTCCTAATTCTCAAGCAATTTTCATCAGCTTCCAAGGACCATAACTCTTTCATTTTTTATAATTTGTGAGTGATCTCAATTCCATAATTCCATTTGAAGAGTCTACTTTATTTCATCTTCAAGTATGAAGAGCTAATTTTGGGTGGAATTCCATGTAAGTTTGAAGAATATTATAGGTCATTAGGAAGCTCAACACTTCAAATTTTTTATAAGTGTCAAAGTCAGTTAGTTTTTCACGATTTCAAATGGACACAACTCTCAGATTAATTGTCCAAATAAATCCTTTCTTGGAACATTATAAACTTTGTGAGAAGGTCTTTCTAATGCATCAAGAATGAGACAATAAATCCTGATGAGCAAGTTGCACCATGCATTTGAAGATGGCACATTGAAACGGAGTTTTCCAACATAGTCAGGTTGCAAATTGGTTAATGTGGCTTCTAATGATCAAATTGATTTGTGTGTTCTACTTAAACATGTTTATCAAAGTTGCTAAAAATGATTTATGCCTTGAAATGCAAGTTTTTGTTGGTTTTGAGCAATTACAAGTCACATTTTTTATTCTTGCAACTTCACACAAATTCACTCATTCTCGATCCTTCTTGCATGTATGAGCTCATCATTCTTTCTCCTATAAATAGAAGATAATTCCTCATTCATTTCTTCAAGTTTGGATAGGCAGAATCACCCTGCAAAAGTCTCACTCGAAACTTGAAATTTAAAAATCCATTTCATTGTTTCAAGCCTTATTTCTCAAATTTCCCTTATGATTCTTCTTTCTTGATCATCATACAAACTTCTCACAACAAAATCCAAGCCATTTGTGCATAGAATCAAGCTAAAAAAGTCAAATTTCAGAGGCATTTGAAGTAAACTTCATTCAAGTAAATTTCTCAACCAAATCTTCTCAAATAAATTGTTAGCATGTAGTTTCTACTTCTCTAAAGCCTTTGCTTTTTCTGGTTTTAATTTTTCATGGTGATTTGAGCTTGAATTTTCAAATTTCGTTTCAAACATTTTCTATGATAATTTCAAAAACAATTATGTTGTGATTTATATAAATTTGGTGCAAGGATATGGTTGAGATCGTCTTGATGATATGCATCCAATGATACCACCATGAGCTCCTAAATTTTCCAATTTCAAGGATTTTATCTCTGCTCTAGTTGCAGATGGCTGGAGGTTGAAGATGACCAACATATTGTAATGAGGACAAAAAATAATCAACTCCTTGAATCTTTTAGCATACTCAACCGCAGTTATATTACCCTGCTTCAGCTCAAGAAACTCAATCTCCTTCTTCCCATGCACATCCTCTGAAAAATACTTCTC